ACAGACAAATGAAAAAGTGCTCAACATCGCTCGGCATCAGGGAAATCCAAATCACCTCACACCAGTAAGAATGGCTAAAATTAACAAGTCAGGAAAAGACAGATGTTGGTGGGGATGCGGAGAAAGGGGAACCCTCCTACACCGTTGATGGGAATGCAAGCTGGTGCAGCCACTCTGGAAAACAGTATGGAGGTTCTTCAAAAAGTTGAGAATAGAGCTCCCTTATATATTCTATCCTTTGAATTGTTGTCTCAGTATTTCATCTACATTGGTTTTGCTATTGAATTATTTGACTATTAATTCCATGTGTGTTGAGACCATACTTTTTCTATGTTGCTTATAATCTTTAATTCACTTTTTTAAAGATGTATTTATTTGAGGGGAGAGAGGCAGAGGGAGAGAGAAACTTTAAGCAGACTCCACACTGAGCGCAGAGCCCAATGTGGCAGGCTGGGGATCCCACGACCCTGAGATCATGACCTGAGCCAAAATCAAGTGTCATTGGATGCTTAACCAACTGCGCCACCCCGGCGCCCCATAATATTTCATTCAATGCCAAGAACATAATAGGCACTTAAAAGAATATTGTCCATTAATGATATATTTGACAGGAAACCTGAGGGTGACAGTTTAATTCTGAGCATTTCCAGCGATGGATAGTGACCTTCAAAATTGGATCTACATATTAGAAGGTTAACGTTGATCAAATATATCCTAATCCTAGTAAAGACATTTCATTTGACTTTTTTGGTCTTTTGTTCTTCTTTTTAACAAGTGAAAATGTGAAAACACTCTTGGACATGCCACAATAATTTCTTTATGAAAATGTGCTTATAAGATAATTGGCAGGTTTTAACAGACATTCAGATTGATAGATTGATAGGAACTGCTGAGACTTGAGAAATATTTGAAAATGCCTACCCAAGGAATTAACATTCATGTGTTATACATGCATACATTTTGAGTTGGAAACATGAAAACCACCTTCACTTAGTAAACAATGGAAATAACTTGCAATTATTATATTCTGGGTCAAAAAATTTTAAGAAGTTTCCAGATCTACCAAGATCACCTCCATGCCTAATATTTAAGGATAAGAGAAATCTTTAAAATCACACTTAATTAAAAAAACTGTATGTCACTATTTGCTATGGATATTGTCATATAAGCTGTATTTTTAACCAGATATAACATGTTGAATAAAAAGAGGAATCAAGGATCAGTCCAAGAACCTAAAATATCATAACATGGAATAGAATTATCATACTAAAACATAAGATGAAAGCAAAATATATTGGTTCCTGGAAACGAACTGATAAATCAAGAAGCAATTAATTAAAATAGATTGGTACACAATTATACATTTAGACAGTGAGAAAGCAATAATGAATTAGAAGAAATTATTTGTATTGAACTGATCAGGATTCTTGATTTCTTCTATTATGTAATGGTTGTGTAGCAAAATCACATTTTAATGGACTATAGAAAGGAGGCTTTAAAAAAAATGGGTAAAAGGGAAACAGAGAATTCACGCTAAGAAATTGTCAGGAAAAAAACTCAGAATATGTGCATATAATAAATGGTGAACTGGACTGGGGAGAGCATTGGGCAGAGATATAGAAAGCAGAGCAAAGAAAAGGAGGGTATGCTTGTGGAAAGGAGGAAAGAAAGGTACATTGGACAGAGGTAAAACCTAAGGGTGAGACCAGAGCCTCGTTTGACATCAAAAAAATACAGGAAAAATAAATGGTTTTCAAAATTTGGTGATATTGATTTGAAGCTATTTATTACAAAGGTGTATGGGATTGAAAATTGGAGACGGAAGGAAAGGGTGAAAACTTCTAGGTTGTTGATTCACAGGATCTGTGAGAGACCTATATATAGAGAGACTTTTTGTTTTGTTTTCAGTTTTACAAGAATAGAACCATAAAATAACCATTAGTTCAACAAGCACTTACTGAACTGCTACATGCCAGGCTGCTGTGCAAGGTGCTCAAGGATGAATTAGAGCCTCTGTCCTGACTATAAGCTGCTAGAAGGGACGCTGGAGATCGTCTGTGCAACGACCAATTTGGGGTTTGTAAACTGTGAATGATCCTGTGTTAGTTAGATCGACGGTGTGCAAGATCAGAAAGAAATGCAGTTTGAATAAAGCTTTTGAGTTTGAGGCTCCTTTCTGAGAAAATGTTAATCTTTGAAGAGGCCTTTTAGGTTTGGGGCAACACAAAGGTAGCTTAGTTACATCAAAATGCCTATTTCAATAATATTCATGAAAATACAGTTCTACCGGCTGCGCCTGGGTGGCTCAGTGAGTTCAGTGTCTGCCTTCCGCTCAGGTTGTGATCCCAGGGTCCTCAGATCGAGGCCCGCATCAGGCTCCCTGCTCAGTGGGGAGCCTGCTTCTCCTTCTCCCTCCATCATCCCTCCACTTGTGTTCTCTGGCTCTCTCTGTCAAATAAATAAATAAAATCTTCAAAAAAATTTTAAAAAATGCAGCCCGACCTGGATTATACTGTTGAGCTTGTTACATAGGCATCTCAACTAGCATCCAAATAGGTGCTTCCGCGTTTAAGGCATCTTTTTTCTGTTGAGGTCAAGCAGTGCCCCACTTGGGCGCCCTGAAGCTTTGAAACTATAGACCACTGCACTTCCATTAAAGTGACGTTTCTCGAAAACAAACTCTTGGCTGAATTCTGACATCCGCAGTGTTAGTGGTGAACAAAGACTTTTATTAAAGTTTTGACGGAAGCTTTTCTAATTGAGAAACAAGAAAGCAAAAGGAGCATATGCATGGGATTCTTAATATTTTGACTTACTCTGAATTCCAAAACTTGAAAAATAAACTGAAGTAGAAAATTAAGTAATTGAGACAAATATATCCATGCTCAAAAATTTAGCTTGCCGAGTTCCTTCAGGAAATTACTAAGTCTGTCTGTGTAAGTCTAAAAGCAGGTGGAAGCTTTTCTGGGGTGACTTACAGACAAAAGGTAGAAGTACCATATTTAGTGTGTCTAGAAATTCTGTGCAAAGAATTCCAGAAGCCATATCAAACCTCGGGACAATTATTGGAAGCCAGAAATCTCATTCTGGAGCCTATTGTAAATGTATGTGGGGTCAGGCTAACAGCAACGTGTTGAAATAAGTATTTTTGTAGCGATCCCAACCTGAACCAGTATGAAATCTCTCATAACAGAAATGTAATGTTTCTGAAAGCAAGATTGCCCTCTCATTTCTTTTTCACCTTCCTGTGCCTTTCATAAGTCCTTCTGGTTGGTTAATCATTAATAAATATTTAACAAGGCTTTTTTCCCAGTGCCAAATCCTTCTCTGCTTATCTAGCTTTTAGGCAGTCTGTGAACTCCCCTATGTCTTCCCATTTAAGGAGTCCTGGCACTCACTACAGGTTAATTTCTCTAAGGAAATTCATAATAACAGATCAAGTGGGAGTTTCTTTACAAGAGCATTCAATTTTTCAGGCCACTCTTAGTTTAGCATTTTCCCCAAAATGCATGGAAAATGTTATGTATTTGAACCAAGATTAAATCTGTAAAAATAAAAAAATCCAAGTACACATTTTTTGAAACCAAATGGTTATGACTGGAACAGGAAGGGGCTTAGACTTTCTCTTGGACAGCTGTACCACAAGCCAATCACTTGACCTGACCCTGGAGAATCCCTCAAACTCTGGCCCTCGGAGCTAATTTTGGATCTGGAGTGAGCCAAAGGACTGGAACGCAGATACGGAGGGGAAACCTCCCCGTGTATTCATGCAAGAAGCCAGCTATGACATGGAGGCAATCTCATGGGCAAAGAAGAAGAAAAGGGACTCTGGGAAACAGAAAAGGTATTCCGGGAAGCAGGAGCACGTCTCCAAGTTTTCTCTGGTGTTAGGAGATTAATGAGAATTGACATCCATTTCCAAACGAGTGGAACGACGTTACTCCCACCATTCCTTCCTACCTCGACCTCTCACCCCCTTCCGCATGGACAACCCTACCTAACAGGTGATTTTGGTCAACAATTTACTTGGCACGAAACCAAAGACCCGAGAGCCCCGTCCTGCCCATATTCTGCTCCTTAGACCTCGGAAGGGAAAAGGAAAGATTGCTAAGGTGTCACACCTGGGCTGATTCGCGCAGACGAAACTACTAGTAAATGTCCCTTCTTGGGCCGAGATTCTCATCACCATTCCGGGGAGAACCTGTACCCTCGGACTTAATCAGGGGCTTGGTGACTTGCAAACTCCCATTCCCAACAGTCCTATCTTTTCATTTATTCCTCCCCCCCCCCCCCCTTTGCACATGACTCTGAGCCAGGCACCGTGGACTTCTAATCCCTTTTCCTTTTTAGCCAGGGAGAGGGAGAAGCAGTCGCGAGGGACCGGTCTCCGCTCCCTGCCGCAGAGTTAGAGTCCCCATCCCTCCAGGGTGCCCAGCCCCGAAGATTCTGCTCCCGGCTCCCCACCCAGTTGATGTGACAGGCTCGCGGCCCAATCCCCTTCCAGGTTCCCAGGCCGACTGTTAGCAGCACCCGAGCCAATGGCGGCGGCCGAGGGGCGGAGGGGGCAGGCGGGAGGGAGGGGGCGCTGGCTTTAGAACCACGGCCGCAAAGATTGCAAGAGGCAGAAGTTGTCGGAGTGCGTCGGTCGGAGGCTGTCGGGCAGATCCGGGACTCTGCGCCTTTATGTAAGTGCTTTGTGGGCACGCCGGGGCACGACGGGAGCGGGTTCCCGGGGCGTGGGCAGGCGTGGGTCCAGCGGAGAGCATCTCCGGCAACCTCAGCTGGGACGTGCCCCGCGCGGGGGGGGGGGGGGAGGACGCGGGGCGGGGAGGGGGCTGCAGAAATTTCGGTCCCGGACCTTGCGCGCCAAAGCGGGTCGTTCGCATCCAGGATGGGTGGGAGTGACAGTGTTCCCCACGACCACCCGCCGCAAACACGTCTTCTGCTCTTAACCACCGGGATGGTGCCTTCTCGCTAGTTGCTCCTAACTTGTTGCTTACCTGGGGCTGCAGTCCTTGACGCCAACCTTGTCCTTCTCCCCTTCCGTAGCGGCGGCCGCGAAGTGGAAACCGAGCGCCGAACTTCCCTCTGTCGTTCTTCCCCAGCTACTGCCACCCCCCGGCCCCCCGCCCCCTCCCGCCCCGGACTCAGGAAATCCCGGAGGCTGCCTCCGGCCCCCGCTCGCCCGCCTCGGGTGACCTCGCGGGCTCACGCCAGTTCCGGGGCTCTGAGCGGCTGCCTTGGCCCAGGGAAGGAACCGGGCTCCGGGAGCTGCCTGCCTCCCGTTTGCTTCCCTGGCCATTAGCGAGAGCGCCGCGATCGCACCGCGTCTCCCTATGAGTAAGCACTTTTTCCCTTTCGGTAGCTCAACATCGCCGGGCCACTGGGGCAGAACCTTTCGGTTCCCCATCTCCCCGGACCCCTCGGTCCGCGCCCTGCTCGGCTCCTCTGGCTCTGCAGCCGCGAGCGCGCGGTCGCGGCAGCGCGGGACCTCTCGGGGCTCCCGGGGGAGGCAGAGCGGCAGGGGCAGTGGGATGGGGGGGTGATCTCCCCTCCCCCGCCCCCCAGCTGCACTTGCCGCTGCTGACTTTCCTCCACCCGCAGTACTTAAGCGCTCTAATAAGAGGCGGGGGGACGCTGACCACCCCCGCCCTGGCTTCTTGCCAGTCCCAAAGTTGCCGCCACCGCTGCTACCGCTCGTACCGCGCTGGCGGCTCCAACGGCCCGGCTCCAGGACAGCAGAGGATCCCAGGCTGGGAGGTGGCGTGGGGTGAATGCTCTCGGACACTTGCGCGACGCGCTGCTTCTTGCTCCTCACCGGATCTGCACACCATCCCTACGGGTGCAGGTTGAGGTTAGAACTAACTGTGTTGGAGAGCCTCGCCATTTAGGATCCGACGGACGGGATGCCGGGGGTGCCCGGCCTGTTACGAGGGAGGGGGTGGAGGGGAGGAGAGCCTGGCTGGCCGCACAGCAGGTAGAAAACGTGAAGTGAAATGACAAACTCCTGAGAGGTAAGCACTTACGCCACTTGACTGATGTCACACTGTGTTTGGGAGCCTCAACTTGATCCTGGAGATGCGGTTTACAGTGAATTCCAGCGAAGTGGCCGAAGTCCCACACTTGCTGATTGGCATCACGTGCCCCAAGTCTCTGATGCCCCTAGGGTAATGGTCACATGACTTCTTTTGCCTTGAAAACTGGAATGTAGTGGCTGGAGCCCATTTTCCAAAAACTACCACGACAAAAAAAAAAAAAAAAAAAAAGGAGAGGGGGAGTGTGAATCTAGCCTCTACTCCAGGGAATTCTACTTAGATTTGGAGGAGGGGAACAGAAAGGGAATTTGGTGCTCCGATTTTATCCAAAATAAAAAACGGGAGCTGTTTTTAAAATAAGGGCTTGAAATCTCTGTGCCGGGACAAATATCTCCCCGGTGGCTTTCCTAAATGTAAAAAATATCTTAGTAATTTTTTTCTAGGAAAATCGTCCTTTAATTCACACCCACTTCATCCCTAGAGGATAGTTTGGAAGCCATATTCCTTAAGATAGTGTTAAAAAAAAAAATTAGGATTTACCCGTATTCCTGGTTCTGGCCTATATTCTGATTGAACTGTTCTCTTTATTAGGCGTCTCCTTGAAGGTGGTGGATCATTTCTTGACTAAAATTAACCACCAGTTATTTGTGGGTTGCAATTAATTGGATCAGAAATCAGGCACAAAAACAGTGGATCTTAAATCTGATAAATCTAGCTGGTTGGGTTTTTGCCTGTCAGTATCTTGATGGAATAATGAGAGGCCCCTGAAACCGCTCCCTCCTGTGATGATGACCAATACTTGCCCATGTGGCCCAAGTTAAGATTGCTTTTGGAAAAACGTGGCAGTTCTGATATTCAGATTATATTTTGCAGAGTATAGAAATGGGCAGAGGAAAAAAAAGAAAAGCAACAGGCAGAGGAGTCTCTGAGGTCAGGAGTTTAAAAGCTTTACTTATTTACAAAAATGGATCCAGTTGATACAGATTCAGCCTTGAAACTAGGGCAGCTATAAATGAAACGGGAACATTTAAGAGATGTTGGCTTTGTGTGCATTAGCCAAAAAACCCCTCCGTCTACTGCAGCAACCTCGGAATGACTCGAGCACTCCATTTTTGTGCTGTGCTGGGGTTTCTGAGCCTAAAAACTAGAACTCCTTGAAAGCATATAGTTCTGAACTCAAGGCTAGCCTTGTGGCGCAGATTTGCTCAAAGTGGAATTAAGCTGCACCTGAGTTGTTGTAAACTACAATGGTAGATAGACCCCCCTAGTGGAAGTGAGGTGATAACAGAATTTTAGATTGAACTCCTAATACATATTTTAACCTCAAAGAGAGAGTACCACAATCCAACGAGGTTAAAGTGGTAGGGAGATGAGCTCTTTTTAAAATATTATTAACTCACATCAAAACAGGATCATCACTAGGTTCTCAGTCTATGGAGCATTTCATTGTCTTCAAGTGTCCACTCATTTAAAACCACTGACTGTTACTGACTTAATGGGGGGGGGCAGCTATCATTTCATAAACTCGGGTTTTTAGTAAGATGAGGGGGTTGTGAGTCTAATTCTTAATCTCTACTGTTAGATCTAGCAATTTATCAACCTCTTTCTTTACCCGAGGTGGGGAGCCAAGCAAATTATGCTCTGCCTTGACTGAGTACAGACACTCAGCATTCAAGTCCAGGGTCTCCAGTCTGATGCCATCATTTAGAGCCCATTGCTAAAAATGTCTAGGCTTATGGCATTTGGGGTAGAAGGATTAATTATAACTGGTGAGTAATATTTTGGTTGTGATTACATCTCTTCTACAAATGGTTACATGCACATTAGACTTGACTATTTATATTGGCAGAATGTCAGTATCCAGGGCACTATCAGAAACCAAATGAAATTTTGCTCCTAGGCAAACCGCATGACTGTTGCTGAACAGAAAGGGGAGCTTGGCCATGGTGCCTGAGAACTAAAGTGATTCTGGTGAAACCGACAGGGGGAAAAAGGAAGAAAGGCCACTTTCCATTATTCCATGTTCTGTTTTAGGCATCGTTTCTACTAGCCTTTCCAAGAAATTTACTGACATGATATTCTTACCACAGATGATAAATTCAGGAATCCGCGATTGCATTTCATGAGCACAATCTAGGCGAAATGTGAACGCTAAACTCTTTTTGCTGTTTAGTACAGATTCCAAAAGTAGCTGGTGTAAAAATGAAAATGAGCATCTATCGAAAGACAACAATGTGGGTATCTGCTTTTAAAATCACTTCATATTTGCTCATGTGATAATTTTTTCTGTTGGTTAAAAGTAATCCAGAGAGGGAAAATTTTGATCTGTGAAACTAATAAAACACAGTTTGAAAGAAAACGGCTAGATCGTGTTTTGAGTCTGGGTAATTATTCTAGAGAGTGATCTACCATATATTTGTTCATTCAATGTGTTGGGAGGTTTCAGAAGCTTTTTGGATACATTACACATTGGAAGCTCTTTTTTTAATATTTATTTATTTGAGAGAGAGAGAGAACAAGTGGGTGGAGGGACAGAGGGAGAAGAAGCAGACTCCCTGCTGAGCAGGGAGGCTGATGCAGGGCTCCATCCCAGGACCACAGGATCATGACCTGAGCTGAAGGCAGATGCTTCACCGACCGAGCCACCCAGGTGCCTCCTGGAAGCTCTTTTAGATACCAATGGTCAGGACTAGCTGTTATTAGTTATGATACAGCTTTGGTTAGTTATGGCTTAGAAATATAAAAAACTGTCTAATCATGAAATGTCATTCTCAGCAGGTCATAATTCTTGGGACCAACTCACTGTAGTTATGAAGGTGAGGCACTGTCAAATTCAATATGTTTAATAATATCTAATTTGCCTTAATCTTAGCACTTGAAAGACAAATGTTAGAATAAAATGTTTTAGGGAAGAAAAAACATGCTTTTAAGTGAAAATTGAAATACTAAGGGAAAAATATATTGGACTTACCTTCAAAAGAACTAGATTTTAGACATGGCTCCTGACTCATAGTTCGACCTTGAGAAAGTCACTTAAAATTATTATATTGATAACACATCGAGTACATTATGCATCTTCTCATTTATACAGTTGAGGGCATGGCTCAAGGTTTTTGGTTTGCCGGGATTTTTTTTTTTTTCCCCAAATAGTTGTAGCCTGGCTTATTTCAAAATGTTAATATTAGTTGATTTTTCAAATTTTAATGCACCTGTGTAGAACCAAGCTAACTACCTTGTTGGCAAATTGGTAGCTATGGCAGGAAGACGTTCACCAGTGGCCTATTCCATGACTCATGTTAGTTCTTTAAAATATAGAGGTACCATTAACATCATTGCTTAGCCAGGATTTTGGCGCATTAAACCTACTGATTTTGTATTATGAGAAAACTTAACTTTTCTTAACGGTCTAGAAGTTTGTTTAAGGGTAAGGAGGTAGTGTCGTTCACTGGAAAAGGCATTGAGCATGGAATCCAAGGGCTTGGAGTCCTCTGCAGTTTGGACATCTAGGCCATCGTCAGTAAATCACACAAGTTCTCGGTGTCCAGATGTGGATTTTACTTTATTTAGCCATCTGTTTCTAATCTATGTATGTCACAGGCATGCTGAAAGGCTAAGTGAGCTGTGGATAAGTGACCCTTGGCTCTTCAGCAGACAGGTGCTATATAAAATCAAAGTACTGTAGTAGTCTATCATAGACACACTACAACTTGAACAGGAGTTTTCAGAAATGGTAGAATCCTCATCACTTAAGTCTCGCCCCCATTTGTACTTGCCTGCAAATATTCTCCAGCCATCCAATTTTACAAGCAAAGGAGAAATAATCTAATTCTGGCTGATAACAAGAATGAAAACCTCTTAAGTAAAGCTTTCTTACAGTGTTTTCCCTCAAATGTTGTGCCAGATAGCCTTTGAAAGCCATTACTGTGATGGGTTGTTTGTTTGGTTTTTTTTCCTCCTTCTTAAGTAACTACTGAGCAGTATTTTAGTGTTTGTCGGTAATCTTACAGAATCCGTTGGCTTATCCTACTTCATTCTTAGTTTTGTGACTGCCCATAATGGGAGGTCTTGTGTAAAACTGTCGAAAAAGCAAGTGCTTCTCCTTATAATTGCCCTTTAAAGGAGTGCAGGTTTGGAAAAGTTCCTAATGGAGGAGTTAATCTGTATATTTAACTGGTATGTCCTCATTAACAGAAAAGAGGAGAAGTTAACGTAGATCTGCGCTTGAGAATCCTGTTGGATAGCTGGCTTCTGAGGGTCCTTTTCAACTCCCACCCTTAAAACTGTTAACCTCGGATTAATTTCCAGTGTTTATTGTCATCTTGCCAATTCTATGACGGGTTCATTAACTCTGTCATTCTTTGAGTTACCATGCATTTTTATCTGGTTGGTTAAAATTATGTCCTTATCCGTTAAATTCCAGCATAGTTAACATACAATGTTATATTAGTTTCGGCTCTACAATATAGTGATTCAGCAGTTCTATACATTGCTCGGTGCTCATCACCATAAATATACTCTTTTTTTAAAAAGATTTTATTTATTTGCCTGAGAGAGAGAGAGAGAAAGCCCAAGCGAGGGGGAGAGGCAGAGGCAGAGGGAGAGGGAAAAGCAGGCTCCCTGCCGGGGCAGGGAGCCCAATGCGGGATGCGGGATGCGGGGCTCTATCCCATCATGACCTGAGCCATCCAGGTACCCCCTTCACCTTTTTCCCCCATCCCTCCTCTGGTGACCACCAGTTTGTTGTCCACATTTAAGAAACTTTCATTTCTCTTTTTTCTTTGCTCGTTTGTTTTGTTTCTTAAATTCCACACATGAGTGAAATCCTATGGTATTTGATAGTATTTGTTAAAATATCATTGGTAAAGTGATAGTACTGAATTAAAATGAAATAAGCAGAAACTTCTGAGTGAAAGGACTCTTGAAATAACCTGGTATCATGTGACTAGTTTTGAAGCATGGGTTCATTTTGCGCATAGAAGTCAATTTCTTTTATGAAGTCTGATCTCTTCTTTCTGCTATCTTTGGTTTAAAAGATTGAATAGCAAGTTATTTTTTGTAATCTTGTAACCCGTTTATTGAAAATCTAACTCTGATTCTTTTAAGCTGCTTATAGATATGTAATTTCTATATAATATATATAACGTTTTCCTCTTCAATAAAATTTGT